TAATCTTGATTCTATAAAACATAAACCTTCCTTGAAAGTGCAGTGTATTACAAGTACTTTCTAATGTTAAATGTAATTCTTGAGATGAACTGTCTTTAATTTGTGTTAACTGTCTTTAGTATCAACTAGTAAAAATATATAAACTAGCATTTCATAATACTTAGATATTGACAGATTATGTTACTTTACAGTGAAAGCAACTAATAACATTACATAAAATATATAATATTGAAATGCACCAAAAGCTCTTTAAATGTAGAAGCTGACAAATGAGGAAAAAATACTCAAAAGCAAAAGACTAAATGACAATGCGTAGTCTGAGAGGTCAGCAGAGCAGTCACTGGTGCCAGATGTCACATCAGGGCATTTGCCGCACCAGGCAAATTAGGTCCCAGGGAATGGAAGGCTAAAGCAAGGTTGGTAGAAAATCTAATGACATTGCAAACAAATGGCTCACTGTTACCACTTCCATTTAAGATTATTATTTGGAGTACCTAATCAGTAAGAAAACAAAAAGTTAACAAAAGAAAACAAAACCGCTAACACTAACAGATGATCTAACTGTGTGCACAGAAAATCCAAAAAATATAGAGTAATTGTGCATTGAAAGAGAACTTAGCATGATTAAGCCCACTGCCATTGAGCTGATTTCTATGCTTACAGACCCTTCTCGGGCAGAGTACCACTGTCTCGTAGGTTTCCAAGGCTATATACAGTCTCTCTGCGAGCAGCCAGTCTGAGCTTTCTCCTGTGGAGCCAGCTGGTGGGTTCAAACCACCAACCTTATGGTTAGCAGTCAAGCCTTAACCACTGTGCCACCAATTTCCTTTAACAAGATTGCAAAACAAACAAACTCACTACCACTGTATCAATGCACGCGCGAGCACACATACATGCGCGCACACACACACCACGCTCGCTCCCTCCCCTCCCCCCACACCACCCCCATGGGTTTCCAAGACTGTCTTTCTCCTTCGGAGGTGGTTTCAAACTAACGACCAAGCAGCTCTCAGCCCAATGTATAACCACTACACTACCAGAGTTCCTTAACAAGATTACTGATTATAAAACCATTAAAGAAATATCAATGTTATTCTAAAAGAGCAAACATAAGAAAAATAAATTTTTGCATATAGCATTTTACAAGGATCCAGAAATAATCTAACAAAATATACGCAATAAAAGTAAAAATAAAATGCAAATAAATGGAGAAATATATAAAGCTTATGAATTAAAAGCCATTGTAAAATAATTATGCCCAT